CAGATCGGAATTTGGAGCAGGTTTTGCGCTCATTTCTTCTAGTTTGCTTCGAGCTAAATATGATCTTCTTGTAGAAATGTCTTGCAGCTAATTGGAGGTCCTGATAACTTCACTCAATCCTTGCAACCAGATCCTGCCCAGGCTAACCAAGCCTTTATCCCCTCCTCTTTATATGGCTGCTATCCTGCTGAATTTGTCACAGTCTACTACTAGGGCGTCCCATAAGTTTCTCAAGTTTCCGAGTCGAAAATTTTATAGATTATTTCTTTCAGACAACCACTCAAGTCTAAGTTATAGTGTGATCCTTCAGGTATATCCCACTGTCCATCAAAAAGTCGACGAATCTTCTTCAGAATTCACTGAGTTGCAAGCACCCCCATTTCTCAATCACGTACATTATGTCAGTTGTTAGAACGATTCCCGAAGCGTCCCTCCTCACAGCGAAGCAAGTCGGGTCAGATACAACAGAAGCATGGGCTTAGTTCAAGGATATCGAACATGGTGAGCTAAAACACCATTTCCCAATTTTTGCAATGCAGTATGGGTTTCTTCGGTTTGGATGGCCTAGCCGGTCTAGCCTTGTCAAACAAGGAAAACATTTTGGCGCCTACGATACGCCAGTGGATAGGAGCTCACCGTTCCCTGCAATTTTCTAGTTTGCTGACAGTGCTATTGAGATCGTAACAGTGCCTCCCTCATGATCGTTCAAAAGATCTATTGCGAGGAGCACAAGAAGATACCCAAAACTTCGTTCTTCTGCGTAGACATCGCACAACATGTTGTGATGGAATTCGCTCCCATGCAACCAAAAACCGTAGACGAAACCCTTCTCTAATGGGACTTGGATAGAGTCAGATGATCACTCATTTTTCGTTGTAGGTGGACATCGGACGATCGGGCAGCACTTAGATATGTATGTACAGACAGCTACTTAAGACTGTATCTTCAATACAAAACAGCGCGAGTGACGCGATTTGGAAAATAAAATTCAGGAAACTCACAGGATATCCTAATACTAGCTACTAAAAATGCTGCCGATGGCTCAAAATTGTTGTTGAAAATATGCTATAAAGTGGCAAAAGCAAAAAGTAACAGGCTCACTGTTATTGTTTACTAAACAATAACTAACAATAACTTAAAACTTGTAAAAGCCTTCAGCCTTGCGGTTCACTGCCGATATCGGCTAACCGGCTCATCACGTTGAACGTGTGAGTGCTCGAAGGCAATGGCACAAATAGCCATTGAGCTGAGTGGTCAAAAGTGGCCCCGGTAGCGTAATAGGGAACGCAGGCTGCGCGGGAAAGCATGAAGATGCGGGTTCGAATCCCGTCCGTGTTCCGACTTTTGCCCATAACAGGCTCGCTCTCCGAGGACACCGTGTCCAATGAACCTTAATCCCCTCTCTGCCGCGATTGCAAAGTCACTGGCCCACCTGTGTGTCATAGTCGGACAGAGTAAGCTGTGAAGTGAAGTCTAGCAGCCACTGCTTGATCTGAAATGATTGCTGATAACACACTGAGATGATTTTTCGACAGTGAGCGCAATTGTGGTTGCGTTCGGTACATAATCATTCTCGTAGCTTGACATCCCTCTAGAGCCCAAAGTTACCCACCTTGACAAAGTCTGCTGTTGATACGGCATTGGAGACTACATCGAGCGAAGGTGAAGTCAGCATCGATCGCCTAGGTAATTACTTTTCAGAAGCACTACTACATTTATTGGATGGATTACGAAGTACCTGAGGAATGCAGGTGGACGGAAGACAGATTTTCGATCCAAATGTGGTCGAAACGAGAGCGCTGCAAAAGCGACAAAGAAGCGCATCGCGAGCATGGCAAGTCACACTGATACGTGATATCAGTGAACTCTGAGACAACGACGAAATGCTGCTCATCGGGGGGCTGGAAAATATGCTGAAGGCAACAGAAGGCACATTCCCACGGTCAATAATGTCTTGTTCATTCAGTGATCCACAATCTTAGACTTTATGCCATAGGTAGGTCCAAGTCTCAAAGTAGGTGGACGGAAGACTTGATTTCGGTTTTTTCAACTAACATTCGTAACCGTTATGCAGCTTGATGCTATAGAATGGATTTCGGGTTCATTTTGGTCAAATTCATGACCATTCAAGAGCAGATGTGGCTCTTGTGGTTAAACAGATTTATGATGTGACACTGACATCTTCACTTTTCCTGAGGTGGAGTGGTACTCCTCAATTACGAGTAAGAGTGGAGTTCGATCATGGACAGCGTGGGTTACTCGTGGAATATTTTAGTTTGCGACAACTATTATCTAATTCTCTCTTGGGCGAAGTCATGATTGCAACTGTGTAAAAATTAAAATGTCTGATGAAAAACTTTGCCGCTGCCAGTTCATTCGGAGGACGATGCGCCGCGCATGCCTACCGCATCTCAGGGATTTTGAGTGCATGTACAGTAAATCGAGTGTTTGAAGGACTCCTTTTCTAGCCAGCCAAGCTTTCCACTGCTACGAGGTTAGCCAATCGGTACTAGACTGGTCCGGGTGGATAAACACTGGTTTGCACATGAATCGGCTTATCGGATCGCATCTAAAAGTCACTATGATTCTGTGTGGGTGTAAAACGCGTGGTACATTCGGAGAAGAACCTGACCAGTGCTAACTCTTTCTTCCTTCATGCTTCATTTCTATCGCCAATGAGACGATGTAACCTTTTGAAGCATACCCCACCAAATGGGTTCTTCAGACGGCCCTACTGGCCTTACCTACATACGACCCTGTCTCCGAAGATGCTTCAGAAAGAAAGAGAGAAGAGAGCGCCAGATGAGGTACAGATAAAACTCCGAAGTGAATAATCTAGAGTTAGTGAGTTTGCACTCAGGTAGGTTGGAAAAACCCTTTCTCACGCTATCAGAGACAGAGTTTTCTCTCTCACAGGGAGAGCGAGTTGACGACTGCAGAAAAACTACGAGGTGAGACTTACGATCTTGGGTAGAAATCGTATTCATGGGCGCAATCAAAAGAGAACTGTCAATCGTCACTTCATATACACTGCCATTTGATGATGAAAAATTAAAACAAATTAATAATAAAAATGAAATAAAATTAGTAATAAATAACAAAGTATAATAAATGACATATAAAATTTCTGGGAGTTTGAGAACTTAGCGCCCTTCGTGACTGAAAGTGCGGTGGTCCTAGATGTATTAGGTTGGCCGATAAGTATGGCGTTTTTTCCCTACACAAATTTTTATATGGAAAGTGGGAATCGTCTACATTATGGTCTATGCTATTCGATAGATAAATTTTCCGCTCTATGGGGACGCAGTAAATTGCCTTCCTACTACTTCTTATTTGTCGATTTTTATTCTATTGAAATGGAGTGTCGGGTCGACACAAATGTGAGTTTTCGACAACAGCTTTTTGCACTTTATCTCAACTCTCAAATTACAGAAGAAGATCGAAACTTGTAAGATATATGGCCAAAGAAATATGGGTCCTATGACAGTTTGATGGGTCCTATAACAGCTTGAAGTTGGTACAAACGATTCAGAGATGGTAATTCGGACCTTGTAAACTCTTGGGGAGCGACTGCTTGTAGAACTCCTCCACCATGTTTCGAACGTCTAACATCAGCTGAGGATGATGCTTGATGATAAAGAAGCATTACACGGCCTTTAATTATTACCCATCTTTGGTATAAATCTCCGTGAGTTAGGTGATTTAGTAAGCTCTCAGCTGGACTCAATAGGGCATTAGGTTCGATGCTTGTCTGTGAGGTCGAAATTTGAATCTTTGATTCGGTTGAACCATTGTAAGCATTTCTAAGAGACAGAGCCTCTTGGCCATATACTTAGCAATTGGGCCTGTGCTGTTTTAGTTTTTTAATAGAGGTAAAAAGAGAGGCTGTCGAAAATGCTCATTTTCGTCGCCCTGACAATCCATTTTGAGCGCTTGAATATTAGTACAAAATGATCTTAAGAAAAACTGAGACTTCTGTCTTGTAGAGCAAGGAATTCTCTGCAAAACAATATGAAACTTCAATGGCAAAACGTTTCATCTTTCAGAGCGACATTATGAGTGAGAAAAATGCCATTAATTATGGGTCAATCCAATATTTAGCGTGCACCCACTGAGATCATTGAACCCTTCTATGGGTTTCATCCACCGGATACTTCCTGATCATCGTGCAAACAATGGCCACGTGGAGTGTATCGGCAGGTGTGCTCATAGCAAAGAACCAAAGATAAGTCTGTGTCATTAAGCACATAAGGGCCACCTGATCAAGCATAGCAATCAAAGGAAGCTATTGCAAAAGAGCGATCATTGTTGCGGCTCTCGTATAAAGCCAGTGGCTGATCTCACTGCTATCCGCATAATCGAAACCAAAATGCTTTACCGCGTGAGTTTAGCCTATAGTCTTTTAACAAAATGAAATAATCCTCAAATTTTCGTAGTTTTCAACTGTCCACTACTTCAGATTCTCGCTATCCTGTGTATCATCGCTATGGTGGCGTGTTACGGGCGAAGCTGGGGGAGCTGGCAGGGGCAGCTGGCTTGTAAGGATTCTCTGCGGTGGGTTATGTCTCCGTAGTTGTTTATGACAGCCTGTGAAAGGGCTATGATTACGGCCCAGAATTACGGCATAGCGATTTCGGTCGATGCGACTTGTGAAGTGTTTCGCGTTCATTCTGGGGCTTTGTAAAAGTGGGAGAGTCTGAAGGGAAAATGCGCAGCAACCTGCGGTCTTTGCTAAGCCTATGAGCAACGTATGATTCATGTATTCACTGTAGAATGTGCTAAGAGTGTCTTCTTCGTGTCGTGTGTGGTCCGATTTTCGCTTTCGCTCGAGCTGGTCACTCGAGTGAAAAGTGGCCGATTGTATTTGGGTTTGGCTTTGGATACGTATGCTGAAAGTGGCTTGCATTGGGGCATGACTTCTACGCAGTTATCGACAAGTCTACTAATTTTTACATACAGTTTGCTATAACGGCAATGAGTTTGGGCATTGTCAGGAGGATAGGACCCCACCCGTTGGATTTCTTTGTCATTGTTTTCGTCTCCTTGATGACAAACCCTGCAACTGCATACTGTGGATTGTGAGGTTCGTTTACGAGCCTGTTGTCGCTAAGTGACTCTACAGTGAAAAAATGAACAAGCCAAAATGCATGAGAGAACTTAGAGTAAGACTCTGCAGCTCACAGTATGGATCTTTCGGGGGCTGCTCGTTTTATGGGGCAGACAGTACGGTCATAACTTCAGTAGGCGAGAATTCATACACGTACCCCCCGAAGGAGCCGTAAATAATCTGAATGGCAGACAACCGTAATCTCACGACAAAGCGCACATTGCCTGGGTAGCATGTGTGTTGGGCGATGCGGTGAATTGAGATTGGCAAGAGTGTGGCTCATATAAGATCTGTAGGCCTGCTGGATGCTCCAGTACATCTTTTTTCGGCACTATTGAACTATTCCTATCCCAAAATCTCAAAAAAGTTTTCGCTAAGACTTTTGTCTTCAGATGTTATTCCGACAATCACACGCCCATCTCGCGAAGCGATTCGCTTTATGTGAAGTTTGACGTCAATCAGCTGACAACAGTTCTGGAAAGGGCAGGAACAATTTTAGAGAGGTAAAAGGTTACCACGTGATATCACGATGGAGTAATGGCGCTTTGAGAGGTAAGACACCCCTCAAGATGAGCGGTGTTCTGCATTTCTCAGACGCCTTTTTCATCATTGTCTCTAAGGAAACGGACATAAACAGTAATAGGCAATTGTGAAACACAGCATTTCCTGTTGCTGGGGATTTCGCCTTCCCCTCTTCCGCCCGATTTCCTGCTTAGTACGACACCTTTTCCCTTTCCTAAGATTTCATCTTCATAAATTTTCACCCCTTGTTAAGTTTCCCGCAGATTTTTCAGGCTGGTGGATAGGGTGTCGGGAGGGAGGGAGAACTAGGATTTTGGGCTGTGGCCGCAACTCAGAAGCAGAGTATACGCATGGTTATGGGGAGCAAGCGAAACCTGCTGGAAGACTCGAACAACTGTAGGAAAATTTTTAAGGGCAGCTACGACCCCCACCCCACAAAACAACAGAAGGGTCGAAACGATATGATCGCAATTAGAGAAAAAAAAAATTGGGTTCCCAACGATGTTGCATAGGTGTGCGCGTGAAACAGAAAAAAACCCAAACTATCAAAAAAATTTCTGAGGCCAAAACGACCACACCCCCTCCCCCGCCGTTAACACCAAGCGAAATATCCAACAAACCAAAATGAAAACCTGAAATAGTGCTGCAAGAGCTTTTTTCGTTCTAACTCCCTTCATTCCTTCATTACCTTGTTGACAGCATTCCCATGTTATCCTTAGTCCTGTCCTCTTTCGGGAACTCCTGATATGTGCCTTTTCGAGGCCTGAGATTATACCTCGTAGGACTCTAAGACAGGGTCGATGCCCACCGCCTGGTGTAGCCAGTAGCCGGTAGTCATTGCCCTCTGCCCCAAGGTTACGTAACAACTGGAACTTTTGATGGGGGTCAGAAAAGTCAGGTAAAAGAAAAGAAAGCTGACGTGGCTAGAGAGAATGAGTGCAAGCTGTCCGTAGACCTGCCCACATGGGCATGGGACAAGACAATCACAACTCGCTGCGTCGGTGGACGTGGCGTGCGACGTTGCGCTCGATGATTTTTCTAGGACACAGATGGCCACAATAGGCAGTTGCAACCGAAAAGAGCCATAAATACCAAGGATATTGGGTTCTACATGGAATGCGGCGCTCCGATCGACAGGTTAATGCAAATTAAGAAAACGCCGCGTCCATCGCCGCGCGCGACAGAGCACAAGTCCCAGTTGTCT